GTACTACATACTTACAAAAAATCACATTGATCAGGTATCACTAACTACATGATCAAATCAATTTTGTACAAAAAAATAGATGGTGTTATAATTAACGGTTGAAAAAAAACTAATCCAATCAGATAGTTATCGATATCCGATCAACGTGACTTTTTACAAGTGTATAATACTCGACGAGTTCTACACATTAAATGGTTCCGATTAGCAAAACGGGACTTGTGGTAGGCCCTCATGAGCCGAACAGCACCGTCTAATTTAATGTCCAAAAAGGAGGGAACCATCTCCTAGCCTATACTCTGCACACACTGCCCCTTAAGACATCTCATCGTACTACCTATTCTATCCATGTCTTCTCCTATACACTAATTTATATAATTTTTTAATACACATTTTTTTTGGTAAAAAGTAAAAATGCAATCTCAAATAACCATATTTTTTTCTCAATTTTTTAGTTCAAAAAGTCAGAAAGTGCACTTATGTAGGACATTTTAAACAACCCCTTAGTCCCCATGTTATTCTCTCATTCATAATATAAATCGTAAGTTTTTATCTCTCTTTACCAATCAAAATCTTATAAAATATTACATATCTATAATCTAAGAATACTAAATAATCACCCATTCTTCGTCGTATCTCACTTTTTTATTTGAATTAGTCATTCTTTTACAAAATACACTTCAACAATACCATTAGCTATCTATTTTATTTTATTTTTAAATATTCATTTAATATTTTTATGGGAAAAAAAGAAAAAGAAAGAGTAAATAGTTTAAGCAGAAAAAATTAAGCGGCTAGTCAGCAATGACTCAACAAAAGTCATTAGTTATTGTAAAATCATTTTAGCTAGCCTTTTCTTTTGACTAGTCAGGCTTCTAGAATAGAGTCCGGATTCTCGGCCTCCGTTCTCGGCGGCCGTCCCAGCAACCCCCCAAAACGACGTCGTTTTGGGGGTTTTTTTGATTTTTTTTTTTTTTTTTCTTCTTCTTCCTCGTTCGTTCGAACGAACCAGAGGGGAGGGGAGAGGAAGAGAAGAGAGAGAGGGGGAGAGGAAGGGAGCCGCCGGTGGGCCGGACTGGAGGGGGCCATTATCACCGGGGGAGGAGGAGGAGGAGGCGGAGGCGGGCCGGAGGCGGAGGCGAGGCGACGATCGGACGGCTGGACGACCTGCGACGGCGGAGGCGAGGCGAGGCGGAGGCGACGATCGGACGACCTGCGACGGCGACCCTCCCCTCCCCTGCGACGACCTGCGACGGCGACGAAAAAAAAAAAAAACCCCAAAACGACGTCGTTTTGGGGGGCTGCCGGGTAGGGCTGCCGGGTAGGGCGGCCGAGGATCCGGATTCTCTAGAATAACTTGTCAATAATAAAAGTCTTTTCAAATTATTTTTAGGCCTGGCTTTGGTCCAGGCCATCATCGGACTGGAAGGTACTGTTAAGTTCATGGGGGCTCACCACGGGTCCCGTTTTGAAAATCTGAACCGTTCAATGTGTAGAACTCGTCAAGTACTATATATCTGTGAAAAATCACGTTGATCGGATATCGATAGCTATGTGATCCAAACAGTTTTTTATCAATCGTTAATTTATTCACCGTCTATTTTTTTATACAAAACTAATTTGATTGCATACCTATCGATATCTGATCAACATGATTTTTCATAGGCATATAGAACTCGACGAGTTCTACACATTGAACGGTTCAGATTTTCAAAACGAGACCCGTGGTGGGCCCCCACGGGCTCAATAGCACGGTCCAGTCCGATGACAGACTGGACCCTTATTTTTATTTCATAAATTATAGGACAAATTACAAATATACTCTTTAAAATTTACTTAAAATACAGATTAATCCTTAAATATACTCTTTCACTAATCAACAATTAAATTAATTAAATTTTTTTAATAATATTATAAATATAATTTTATTGTGATATAGTAAAATAGTTAAAAAATTTATTTTTTCTATTAACTCTATTAAATGACAATTTTTGACAATGAATATTTGTAATTTTTAGAAGGGGGATAGATTTAGTCAAAACCTCCTCATAATAAAATTTTAATACATTAAGGACAAGTATCAAAAGTTTTTCTTGAAAAAGTTCAACAAATATCACTATTATTAAAATATTAAACTTTAAAATACTATAGCTTTTGATGTAGATGTTGATTTTTAATAAAATTGACATTTTTAGAATTCTATCATTAAGATCTATCAAATAAGATTCATGTTGATTACGAAATTCTTTTTTTTAAAAAATTATTACTATTAAAATTGATGTAAATAATAACAGTAACATGTTATTCTGTTTGACAATTACTCTATTTGATAGTAACATGTTACTCTGACAATATTGTCCAAGAAAGAAAAAAATATAAATATATTTTACTTCATTGTTACTCAATTATATATTTTCTCATTAGGCGGTTTATAAGGAAAAATAAATCAGGCTGTCTTTTCCACCAAATAAGAATCCAATAGAGGGGTTTTCACTAATTTTTTTTTTTTAAATCACATAAATAACTCATATTTTAAGTAAATTTCAAAAGATATATTTATAATTTAATAAATTATAATGCAAAACTGAACTAATAAATATACTAGCAAAGATTCTCACCAAAAAAAAAAAAAAATTAGGAACTGCACAAAACATGGAGCATCAAGCGGAGAGCTCTCTCCGGTGTGGTGGTTGTGATTTAATGAATGGATCCACCTTCTTAGTGGATTGGATTGGGTGGTGTTGTTGGGCGGCAGTGCACCTAATTACTAACTGATCTCAATAATTTAAATAGTTTAATATGTAAAGTTAGTCGAATAATTCATACTTATAAAAAAACACGTTAATCAGATATCAACAGTCTCTTGATCATCTCGTATTTGTGTTTACGATTTATTTTTTAAATCATAATTGTCGGTGAAATAAATGTAAACTGTTCAGATGGTTATCGATATCCGATCAACATAATTTTTTATATGAATGATATACTCGACGAACTTTAAATATTAAATTCTTTGAATCATTAAGATAAATCTAGAATCGAATTCACCACGGCTCAACATATCATGCAGTCTGATTTTGAACGGGAAAAAAACTATGGCATGAATGAAATCCCTGAAAAGCGGGAAGCTCAACAGCCAGCCGTTACTCCCAGAAGAATCTCTTATGAATGAAGGCTCCCACACATTTCATTTGTTTTTTTTCATTTGCAAAATTGGTAAGTTGATAGGTTAAATTATAATAAAAAAATCACAATAATTTTATCAAAAAAAAATAATTACATCAACTATTAAAACAACTGTCATGTCCCGCTCCTGCTCATCTTCCCTCGGAATAAGGGAGGCTGCTGTGATTACATTGCAATAGCAATCTGTAATGTTTCGATGTGGATTTTTTATTAGTATTTTTTGATAATTTAAACCGTTCATATTATAAGATTTGTTGAATAGATTATTTATGTAAAAAATCAAATTGATTGAAAATGTATAGTTTTATAATAATAGCACATTTATTTTTTAACAAATAAACAGTTAACATGATTTTGATAATTTTTTTATGACAATTTCAATTTGATCATGGAATTACTAATTTCTGATTAACTTAATTTTTTTTTGTATAAATAATATATTCTATAAATCGTACAAGATAAAAGATTTAAAGTATCAAAAAAATTGATTCCTATTAGTCCCAGCAGCATCCCAATACCCTTTGGCCATGTTTGTTTGGGCGGAGTGGATTAGCATTCCCATGACTAATAGTCTTACGACTACGAATTCATTGGATTATATATCCTATCTTAACTAATAGTCAAGTTTAAAATAATTAGTCTGTACTTCAATTATTTAACCAAACATTGAATTAATAATTTTATTGGACTATTAGTCCAATCCCAACATGGCCTTTGTCTCTGCATTCATCAGCAGACAGTCATGCAAGCGAAAGCATGAAAACGATGGCCCATTCGATTCAATTATGAGACAGCTGGATGATATGGAGGAGCTCCTGTCTGACTTTCTAAAATAAAAAAATAAAAAAATAAATACTAATAATAATTAATTACTAGTATAAAATTTTGAATAAATTATAAATTGCCTCATGTGATTTTAAAAATTATATTTTATTTTAAAAATTTCTAATTTCATAATAAATCATTTATTTTATTAATAAATCATCAAATTAATTAACAGTTTTTAATAATGTTAAAAATATATTTCAATTAATAATTTAAATAATTTTATTATTGTATAAGAGAACAATTATGAATTTTATTTTTTTAGTAACTTCTATTAAATGAAAAATTCTAATAAAGTGATATTTGTAATTTTTCAAATCACAGAAGATAATCTGTATTTGAAGCAAATCTCAGGAGATGTATTTATAATTTATACTATAATTTTTCACTACCTTATTTTTGGATATAAATAATAAATAAATAAAGATATATCTGTCATTTTATTGTAACTATTTTATGTTTAGAGGGATGATTTAGAAATTATAATTTTTTTTTTTATGAAGAACAATTTTAGTTTCTCACCATGCTAACCAAAAGTGATGAGAATTAAAACTCGAGTTTATCTCATTCTAACTATTTCTCATCCCTTTATTCATCTAAATAAGTGATGAGAGATTTTTTTCATTTCCTTTCTTCTCACCTTACCTCTCAATCTAAACGAACTGTAAACTTCATGAGAGAATAAACAATCAACTACATAAAAAATGAATAATAACCACACCAAAAAAAACCCTATTAGATGCTTAGGAGCAACGCTTTGCACTATTTATCAATCACTAATGTTATGAACACAAAATTAAAACACAATGGATCACAAAAAGTGCAATATAGATTGAGATATTTTCGAAAGTGGACCACTCCATAGCTGAGTTTAATCCAATCTTCCATTGCATTTTTTATGAATCATGTTGTAATTCAATCTATGTATTTTGCATTGTTGTTTATCAATGGACACATCTTACGTTCTCTTTTAGAACACCAAAACAATCCCATTGCAAGATCAAACTCTCACACAAGTTTTTACCATTAAACACATTTGAGCCGGGAATTCGAACAAAGCTACAATCGCACCTTGCTTGTAATACAGTGACGATAAGGGTCTCCGACCCACAATTTACAAAACCTTCTGAACATATAACATTACATATGCGATACAAAACTGTACATGATATACAAGCCATTAGAGTAACTTGTTTACCTAACTAAATATATGGTGTCAATATCTCAATCAATCTCGACATTGAACTTTCGTTTATGAAGCTGGTTTCTGTGTCTTCTACACTGATGATGTGTCAGTGAAGTATGCAGTTATTGCCTTCAACTTGCCATTTAAGAAGTTCTTCTCGACCTGCAACCATGGACTTGGCACATTAAAATGCAATCTAGTCTTAGTACAAGAAAATTTAAAGAATTCTTATTTCGGATTAGTAAGTAATGGAACAGCAACAACTGAAGCTTTATTAACAGGCCATGGTAAGATTGGGGCACAAAATAATAATGGGTGGGGGTTGAATGACATTCCCACGTGGCATTAGACAAAGGATGAGATTTGTTGATCCTAACCGTTCAATTTTAGACAAAATGCCAAGAAGAATGATGGAGAGAGTAGAAATACACTCAAGAATCCACAGGTATATTCTCCTAATATTAGGGCTAGAGACAGCAAGAAATACAGTACCAACCATCACAACCTATTAAAATCACTACAACTACCCGTGAGTGACAAGACAATAATGTTTTAATTATTTGGGGCCCATTGGACATACACAGATGCAATCATGTCATTTGCACCAGAAAATGCAGAGGCAGATAACCATCATATCGCAGAGTCATCACTGATTGTAGATGCATAACAAACAATATTGGAAACTTGGTAAAAAGCACAGGCGAAAATATTTTATCTCCAGTGACGGTTCCTTCGGATGAATTTACAGCGAGACAACAATATAATAATTTCATTCCATTTGCATAGGACATGCAAACACACCCTAGCAAAACTATGCAACTCAAGCTCATTTTTTCCCATCCGACAATGAAACACTCCGAAGATCATTCCATGAGTGGAAGTGAAAAGAAAACAAAATGTTAAAAGAAAATAAGCATGGTTTGTACCTCTAGTGACCATGGAGGATTGGCAGATAGAGATAACTCGGCCAGTTGATTGAAATCAACATTTCTTGGAAGGAACATGACAACTTTGGAAGCAATTCCCCTTGCAACATTAAACAGGACATGTCTGGCATAAGTACATAAGTACCGAGTTAGTGCCACAATTTACTTAAATAATTATGAAGAGCAAATTTATCAGAGAGAAACCAGACCCGTCATGTGGCTTGAGCATTGTCTTCATATCATATGTCGTTACTTTAGTATAATTGGGCCCACCCCAGGGAGGTGACAAGAAGACAGTGTCTGCCTACAGTGCAATAATTTCAAGGATTTAAAAACATAAGTTGGCTGGAGAATGCATCATAAGCTTTCACATTAATTATAGAGTAGCAAACCAGTTAATTCCAAAAAGTACTGTATGATAACAACATCTCAGACAACATTTTTATTTAATAAGCAAATAGATGCAACTAAAGAGCGCGAACGGAATGCAGCCACAAGTGCAAGTACGCAAGATCAAAACACTAGCTAGTTGCTACACAAATAAAAAGACTAATTAACAGCTCATCCAAGGGAATTCAACAGAGTATAAATAAAGTATTAACTCTGCGAACAACAATAAAAAAATTTAGATGTAGAATGCATTTAAAACAAACAAATTATTTCTCACAACTATTTGATGTAGCTTCTTGTAAGTTAGAAAACTAACAATCATAAAGTAGAAACCAAAAACACTCCTCTCCCAACTTCCAAATAATAAGCTATTTTCAACTTATTTAAGTTATTTTTGTTAGTTTTCTGAATAAAATTATATATTCAATTAATACGATATACATATGATATATATAGCAATTCTAAACCTAATCCTAAACAGGAAACAATAATAAACCTAAACCAATCCTAAATAGGAAACAAGAATAAATCTAAATCAATCCTAAATAGGAAATAAGAATAAACCTAAACCAATTCTAAATAGGAAACAATATTCACATAATATATACTATACTAATATTATTCTCACACCCCTGCTCAAACTCAAGGTGTTTGGGTAGAAAACACTGAGAGTTTGCCAAGAAGAAACTGAAACCGAGCAATGATGTGAGTCTTAGAAGTCAGCAAGCTGCACAGCCGAAGAGACGAAAGGAAGCAAGATAGAGACAGACTGCTGATGCTAATGAACAAAGTGACAATCAATCTCAATGTGCTTACTCCGCTCTTGGAAGACAGTGTTATGTGCAATTTGAATAGCACTGCGGTTGTCACAATAGAGGGATGTCGGAGAAGACTAAGTCCAAGTCAGAGAGAAGACAACGAAGCCAGACAACTTTAGCAGTACCATGAGCCATAGCACGATACTCAGCTTCGGCAGTAAAGCGAGCAACAATAGTTTGTTTCTTGCTTTTCCAAAAGATTAAGGAATTGCCAAGAAACATACAGAAACTAAACGTGGACTTGCGATCAGTAACATCACCAGTCCAATCAAAATTAGCATAGGCCACCAAATCCAGAGAGGAAGTAAAGAACAATAGTAAACCTTGAAATATAATATCTTGGAGATAGCAAAGAATTCGAACCAAGACAGCCCAATGTGTAGAGCAAGGAGCAAAGACAAACTGGCTAACCACATGAACAACATAAACAAGATAAGGACGAGTAACCGTCATATAGATTAAGCAACCTATGAGCTCTCAATATAGAGTAAGATCATCCAGAAGAACACCATCAGTAGTGTTGAGCTTTACATTAAGCTCAATGGGAGTATTAGAAATCTTATTGTCAGTGAGACCGGCACGATGAATAATCTCATTGACATACTTGGCCCGAGAGAGAAAGTAGCCCTTGGGAAAAGAAGCTACCTCAATATCAAGAAAATACTATAATGGGCCCAGATCTTTCATTTCAAAGGTGCGAAAAAGATGCTGCTTGACCTCAGATATAGCAGAAGAGTCAGAACCAGTGATGATCATATCATCCACATACAGTAATAATACAACAAATCCAATAGAGGTGTGGAGAAGAAATAAAGCTGAGTCTTGGGCACAAGGATGAAATCCAAGCTCAGTAACATCAGTCTGAAAGCGATCATACCAAGCACGAGGAGACTGCTTCAGACCATACAGAGCACACTGAAGGCGACAAACCTGTGTAGAGGTTCTGAAAAGCAGACAACTCATCCTCTATAACTTGAACCCAATGAGGATCCTGACAGGCCTCTTTGTAAGACTGAGGTTCTGAAAAAGAGTGAATAGCAGATAAAAAAGTATGATAGGAAGCAGAAAAACATTTATTAGACCAACCCAACCTGTTTGAAGGATGACACGCTCGAGTAGGATTATCGGTGTGTAACAGGATCAGAGTCGTCAAAAGCAGGAGGATCAACAACAGGGGCAGAGACAACCGGTGGAGGAGGAGCCATGCGACGAGAATAAACTAACGGAGAAGGAGAAGAAACCGAATGAGAAGAAACAGCCAGAGGTGAAGCAGGAGGAGAAGATGAAATAAGCTCAGGAGAAACTGTGGAGATGTACTCATCAGACGGGACCTTAGAAGGAAACAGATCAATATGAACCAAATCCTCTCCGGAAACTGGGGCTGTGAGAGGAGGAAGTTGAAAATAAGGTAGACGTTCGAGAAAAGAAACATGACGGGAGACATAAAGACAACGAGAAACAGGGTTGTAACACCGATAGTCTTTCTAAGTAGGACTATAACCCAAAAAGACATAGAGGACAGGCCGGGCACTAAGTTTGGTCCTATCTTTGCGGGAAGAAGGAAAAAATAGGCAAACCCAAACACACGAAGGAGGGAGTAGTTAGGAATTTGGGAAAACAAAGCCTCATAAGGAGACTGACCAGACAGAAAGGGGAGTAGGCATGCAGTTGAGAAGAAAAATAGCAGTAAGAACTGTCTCCCCCAAGAATGGAGCAAGAATTAAGGCAGAGAGAAGAAAAGACCTAGCTGTCTTAAGGAGATGACGGTTTTTACGCTCGGCTCGACTATTTTGGACAAGTGTATCTGTACAGGAAGTTTGGTGAATGGTACCCAAATTGGCCAAATACTCACAAAACTCATTTTAAAAATATTTCCTATCCAAGTCAGATCGTAACACTTTAATTATAGACCCAAATTGAGTAGTAATCATAGACTAAAAGATACGGTATATCTGATAGAAATCGGACTTATGAGTCACAAGATAAACCCGAGTGTAACGAGTGCAGTCATCAACAAATGACACATAGTATGCATAAACCCCTTTAGTGAAAATAGGAGAAGGGCCCCAAACATCAGTATGAACTAAAGAAAACGGTATATCAGATATAGAAGTATTTTTACGAAAAGGTAAGGCTGTCATTTTGGCAAGTTTACACCCCCAACATTCAGTAAGTTCATTAGGAGAAACTTTACCCAATAAACCTGACTGAGCTAAAGACCGTAAGCGGTCAGCAGACAAATGTCCTAATCTAGAATGCCACAAGTAGAAAGGATTGGACAGAGAATCTAACTGAAAAGAAAAAAAAAACAATTTGAGAAGTTATCATAGGCAGATGCAAGCTTTTCACCACATAGAGGTCTCCAATTCTATAGCCAGTCCCAATCTACTGCTTGAACATCCGATCCTGCACAGAACAAATAGAAAAAGAAAAGATAACATAAAAACTAAAGGCATCAAGCTGACTAATAGATAATAAACTGACAGATAACTGAGAAGCATAAAGGACAGATGGAATAGAGACAACAGACATAGCAAACGGTAAGACAGACCCAACAGATATAATAGACATACCAGACCCATTAGCAGCATTAACGGTAATAGGAAAATGAGGGGGAGTACAATTTTGAAGTAAGAAGAGATGGAGAGTCATATGATGAGAGCCACCAGAGTCAAAAATCCAGACAGACAAAGAGATACCTGAAGAAGACCCAAACAAGCCTGAATGAAGAGAGGAAATAATGGAGGCAGACAAGGATGGCTGTGAGGTAGATAGTGTATGCTGAAGCTAACTAACCCGAGCACTCAAGGAAGCCAAATTAGGATCAAGAGCTGGAGCAGATACAGTAGAACCGGCAGAAACCTGAAAATTACTCTGAGAAGAAAGGCAAAACTGGGTCCGAGACTGCTGAGAATGTGAGCCAAACAGACATCCCATCTTGGGATAGTGATACTTCTAGTAGCCCCTCTGACGGCAGAAGGCACGCTCATCTGGAGCTAAAGACCTCATAATAACCAAAAAGCTAAGGGGTTCAAGTGTAATAAATAGAAATTTGATAAGGCAAAATCTAATAAACCAATACTAGATGGGTCAAATATGACCAAACAGAACTAGAAAAGGAGTTGCGTAATTCCCCAAAACAGATGTAGTGAACCAGAGAAGAGATGGGTCAACCAAGAGAGATAATACCTCAGATGGGTCACGCAATCTAACCTAGAACCAACGAAAGAGAGAAAGCAAACCGTCGCGAGAGAGAGCTTAATCGTAAAGCAAAACTGAGGAAGAGTGAACCAACCAGAGAACCAGAAGTTGAAGTAAAGTCCAGCAAGTCGAAGCAGAGAACCAGAGACCAATGATGAAGAGCTTCGATCAACACAGCCAGAGAGAGAGAACCTGAAGTCGAGGTCGAGCGAAAAGAACAAGGTCAGACAGAGCTGCGAGCGAGAGAGAGAGAGAGACAGAGAGAGACAGAGAGACCTTCACGAACCAAAACGAGAGAGAGAGAGAGAGAGAGATCCCTCGCGCGAACCAAATGGGTCAATGTGTTGTCGGATTGCAATTGTGGTGATAAATATGACTTCAATGAACACCCAATGGCTACGAAACAAACACTAAAAATTCAGACGAATTGCAATGATGAAATGCGATGACCAGACGAAACAACCAGACGAAGTACCAACTCAAATGGGTCGACTTCATGAGACTAAAGATCAAAATCAGAGATGGTTGCTAGGGTTTTGAGTCCTTCAGGTTTTGAACCAAGCTCCGATGCCATATTAGTTTTGTGCATAAAATTGTATATTTAATTGTGTTTCAATACAATATATACATCTGATATATATAGCAATTCTAGACCTAATCCTAAATAGGAAACAATATTCACATAATATATACTATACTAATATTATTCTCACAATTTCTACATAATAAATTGTAAGCAAAAACTACACCAAATAGTCTAACACAGACTCCCAAAGTTATAAATTTAAAAATAATAAAGAAAAAGAAAAAGCAGCAGCTATAAGCAACTCATATAAGTTGTACTAAACAGCCCCAATATAGCCTTGCCCACTGCTTCCAAGCTTCCTTACCAAATCATGACTTTCAAAACTTTTATCATGTTCAGACAATATGGATCCACACTTTGCCAACTCAAACATAGGAAGATAAGATCACAAGAACATAAGTTATTCTTTTCAAATCCTATATAGCTACTCATCATGCTCCATTGTCTTCTTTGAAAAATGTCCACCAGTATGACAAAAGATACATCATTTAGCCAATTAAAAATGAAGTTAAAAGGGTACAAGTCTTGTAATTGATGTCATAGCAATGGGAAATTAATGTCAAAGAAGTAAGTCACTCAATAAAATTTAATTGCACAACACTTGTAACACAAACAACACACACTCAAATTTAGCAAATTTGACTCTTGGCAAAAAAGAATAACAAGATCCTATATAGAGAAATAAAAAGCATTTTCCCTTATCATTATTAAATACTCCCTCCGTCCCATTTTATTGGTCCACATTTCCATTTTGGTCCTGTCCCAAAATATTTGTCCATCTTCTATTTTGGGATACTAAATTTAGTTAGATTTCCAAAATTGCCCTTTATAAACTCATTTTAAAATTCAAATAAAAGGGCAATGGTGGGAAAAATGTTTCAAAATTTGAATTAGAATGTAATGATTGCATGTCTCCTTAATAAGTTGGATTTTCTATAATGGGCAAATAAATTGGGACGGAGGGAGTATTTTATAATGTCATTCAGTATGAATAGCTGCATTCTCTTCTTCTATTCCTGTACTTAAAAATGCCCTATAACTGTCAAAAACAATATGGTTTAAAGCATTTTGCAGCTTCCAATTCACAAGCTTTGACAATCTTATTCTTTTAAATGTCTAACCAATGAACTTAAATACCTTCAGCCTCGGTGCCAAGAGGAAAGAGTCACCTCTTATGAACTCTATACGGTCATCAACTCCATAGATGGCTGCATTATGCTGTGCATAATCAATCTTCTTCGGGTCAATATCGATTGCAATAACATGTTTGCTCCTGAATTAGCAAATAACAAAGAAATCAAGCACACACATCGAAGTTGATATAAGAAACCTTGCAAGCTGAACATACTTATAAGAAAAGAATTATGATTGCGCTTTTTATCTAAGTACCACACAAATCGTGAACATCATGAATGAAACATGAATTTCTCATAAAAAACGTAACCAAAAAAAAAAGGTTGAAAGAAATATATCAATCTTTTTATGCCAGTTAACATGCACAATAACCCAACAACAATAACTTCACCATTCCTATTGAACAGCTATCCTCTGACAAATAAATGACTTCCAAAACTAGTATATTTGAAATTGTGATAGGCACCGATAAATAACATGCAACATCTAATATTTTACTCAAAGAAAATTTGTCTTATCCGTCTCTTCAACTGGAAAAACATGATTAGACCGTAATAAAGTACGCACAACTGGCTACCCGCAAGTTCACAATAAGCCCAGATAAGAAATCTCTATGCCAATTCCAACAACAATCCAGTAATCATATGTAAAACATAATTTTAAATACTAGAATCGGAAATTCTTACCCAAAAAATGAGCTGAAAAGGCATGTGCAGGACATCATTACAATCATTTAGTAACTTCAGTGACAAATCATGTAATTTTCCTCTTTGATGTAAAGCATAAAATACATATAGATATATATATATATATAAAGAACTACCACAACATGGTGTTAAAATAGTGCTCACCTCTGTGCGAATTGGATGGCATTCCCACCAACCCCAGTAAAACAATCAATTATGATACCAGTACCACAACGAAATGCATGATGCCTGGCTACAGGTTCTGGAGTGACAGAAAACCAACCTTCTTCATCCATTTTTATTCCATCATCAAATTTGGAGAAGAGTAGATATCTTTGACACCAATATTTGCCAATACTGGGAGAGAACTCCTCCAAAATCCCTTGGAATTGAAGCTCTGTAAAGATTTCGATGATGATTTATCATGAGGAATAAAATTCAACACTTTCTGATCAAGTATCAATAGTTTATTAGTTGTGAACAGCTCAGGAAAATAACTACGAAAAGCTCCATAACCAACCACAACACAATTTACAGTTTAAAATGTCCTGAAAGTTGTGTTTAAGCAAACATCATAGACATGAGGTGTATCAGGATCAGTACATTCAACACTTGTTGTAGATATAATTAATTGTAGGTTTTTGTGTCCCGCATCAAATGCCACAAGGCATGGACCTCCCATGAGGCATTCCCTGCACCCCCCAGACTTTCCCTACCGCTCACTTGCTCGACTTGCACTCTGACCTTGCCTAGGTCAAGAGCAGGGCTTCACGACCCCCGGGTTAGTGTGTCGATCATGGGATGCCCGAGCAACGCATGACCCAGCACAGTTTCACTAGGGACTTTTGGATTGGCGGCTAGAGTTGAGGGCTAGTCAAAGTTGTCTAGCTCACCGCCTCTCATGGTGGCTTTACTTTGACCAATTTTAGACAAGATAAAGGTCTCTTCGGCCGAGACATATGATAACTCGAGAAGTGCATTAAACCTACCCACTGGTACCTCATAAGGGGTATCACACCTACTCAGCACGACTCCTGAGAGTGAGTTGACCTCATGGCCCAACTTTCCTATAAAAGGAGTCTTTCCCTTCCCTCCATATGCAGCAAGCTCCTCTATAGACGAGATCTCCTTCACACATGAGATAGTTCACCCCCACTGCCACTCTCTCTCTCTCCACTAAGGTTGTCTCAGCTCTCTCCCTCTATAGCTCTAATGGTTTTGCATCAAGCCTACCATGATTCCCAAAAGGTACAGGGTCTGCACATTTAACCCACACTAATTTAGCACTACCTCTCACATGTCCTTGAAAGGCCTTATCAGATGGTTGATACTCTGTAGAAGAACTCAGAAGCATGACCACCTTCAAAGTTTTGAGTTCTGGCCAGAAATCTATTGCTCATGCTGTAATTAGTGAGTAATCCTACTCCCATGTGAGACATTTGGTAGAAATTTTGATAAATCTTTTGGGATCTCTAGCATTTTTTGTAATTGGTAGCACATGTTGTTCCATGAAACAGAATGTGTTACCAATTATAGAACGAGTAATAGATTTTTGCTATTCAATATTCTCGAACTATTAGGTTATTAATATCCATGATACATGATATATCACACATATCAGTATACAAATTTTCAACAACTTTGCAGAACAAAAGAAATTGTGCATTAAAAAAATGAAAATGGAGAAAACAAGAAGAGAAACAGAGAGAGATTTGAACCTTCAGAGTCACTAGATAATTTCCTGTTCAGTCGTGTTCTCTTCCTTGCTTTCTTGTTCAGTTTTCTAGTGACAGAATTTTGCTCATTTTCCAACTTGTCTGTTGCACGATCCATTGGGCCAAGAAGCACATTACCATTCCAATTGTCCTCCGATAGAACAAGTGCAGTGCCGAAGCTGCAACAAGAACCAGATCAGAAACCCATGCCCTAGTCAACAACATTTTCTATTGATAAGGAGAGCATCGTGTAGTGCTCATACACACATCATAGACTAAACCTATCTGATGCTACCTGCAAGCATCTGATGGTTGGATGGCATCATCACAATCACAGTTTGATTGGATTCCCTCACAAAAGATAATCTCCTCAGAGTTACCTATTTGTCCAGAGCAATCCAGTTCTTCAGTTCTATAAGCATCTGTTATCTGCAAATTTGTACTGCAAACCTCACCACAATCTATTTGCCTGATTTCATTTCCCCAACTGTGATTGAAGTTGAATAGAAGTTAGATTAAAACAAAAAGGGGGGAAACATAAATACTACTAGAATATCCCCTGAAATTAAAGAACCAAAAAATGATGAAAAACAGAATACCTGCATGTGTGCTCTGATAACAAATGTAATAAATTTTCGTCACAACAATTTTTATTGATCACCTCGGTTTCATTCAACTGTTCAAAACCACAGTCTACAGTAGGCGTAGTCATCAAGTCACAAAAGTTGTCACCAGCAAGCTCAAACTCCCCGAAGGGCTCAGTAGGTGGCTGGTCCAGTGATTTATCGTCTTTCTTGGATTCCCCAAATGAATCAGACTCACACCGCAAATCATAAGAATTTAGATCTAGCGATTTACTATGATGGGAAGAAACTGCAGAATTAAAATTCTTTTCAGCCATCTCAACAATCATTTCTTCTGATTTTTCAATGCCTTCACCAAATACTAGGTGTTCCATGCCTGGAGGAGGGTCCCATGTAGACTCATGTGTTTTGGTGTTATAAAAATAGTTTCTCTTGTAGAAAGAGTCCCAGTATGAGGTCCAGTCTTCGAAATCACCATTGTCTTTACTGTCAGTTTCATCGTGGTCAAGCATTTCTGAAGACTGTGAGCATGCACCTACATCACGGCCCTGCGGCTGCTCAATACAAATATCACTGTAGAATTTCTCACCTTCTGAATCACCATCAACCACCAAGAAACCTTCCATACATGAAAGTTCCATTAATCCTCTATCCTGTTCGTTCTTGTGATGCTCAATATCATCATCTATGGTAATGCTTCCTGGGGAAGTTCCAGCATCTGAATTGTTTGACACCGCTGCAGTTTTCATGTTGTCCTTTGAAAAAACATTGCTGTGCATGGAGCCACAATCCAGGCTATAATTTGTTATAATGCTGGATACTCCATCACATGCCTGTTCCTCAACAGCAGCACAAGTAGTCCTGGCAGTCAAATCTGCCAAATCTTCTTCCTCACCACAAAGGCATTGAGTTTTATTGAAGTCCACTGCAATACCACAGTAAGATGATTCACTTTGGTCCAGCATTGACATGGAACATAAAGAATCATTGGTTTTACCATGAAAAACAGTGGGAGATGCAATATCCCCTTCACTCACTTTGATTAAATCTAGTACACTATCATCACTTCTTTCATGACCATGTAGATGCTGCTTGTTCATATCCTTTCTTTTCCCTTTGATCTTGCCATGGCTCCTCTACAACACAAAGCCAACATCATTGGATGAGCAGAAGTAAAATAATGACAAAGAGGATGGTCAATAACACCTTTTTTTTAGAGATGGGAACATTCTGTGCAACCATTGAACTATGCATTGATTCTGGTAACCCTTTGAAGAAATCCTTAGCAATAGAACTCATAATTTCTTCATTACATCTGAGAGCTGCCTAAATAGGAACATTTTCTTCATTATATTATATCTAATAGAGTTGCCTAAAGAGTGAAGCTTATAAATTTGCCCTATATCTTGGAGCAGCATGGTGCCAATTTTTTAGCATGGAGATGGCAATTGCCTCTTTTCTAATTTCGCAATAATTCTATTTGTGAATGATAGATGGTGGAGCAACACAGGCATGGGTCCATTGCCTGTAATGTCTAGGTCATCTTCTCGAGAAACCATTGTTTTTTAACAAACATCTACCACAAGTCTAGTTTATCATTAATAAATTTAACGTTATCTCTCCACTGATGGACGCAAACATGCACAAGTGACTAATGGGTTTTTTTTTTTTAGATGCTATTATAATGGCATTGTTTCATCTCCAATAGAAGTAGATGTACACCTAATAAAAGTTACATATTGGGTATGCGTCACCTGCGAGGGCATTGCAAACAAACTTACAAATGAGGGACTAAACTTTACTAACTAAAATTAGAGAGAAGAAAATGCAAACTCACTTCCTTGTTTGTTTGGAAGGAAATAGGAAGCCCTAATGCACTCATCTGCCTGGTGAGTTCCATGTCATCTGATAAAGGGCAACAATCTGAAAATTCAGTAAAGACCAATAGAACCACTTGAGAAGCATACAAATAGCATATATCTAGAGTGACACAAGTATAAAATAAATAGAAATCCAACACAAATTTAATAAATTTCACCTACCCACAAAGCAGTAGATGGAGAAAGTAAAGATCTATTATAACAAGCTGAAAATTAGGTGGATAATAGCATCTCCAATCCTTCATCAATTTTTTCATCATATGCAAAAATGATGAAAAAATGGCTATAAGTGTGCCCCCAACCATTTCACCAAATCAAAGATGAACCAAATAATCCTTCACCAAATTCCCTATTGTCATATTTTTACTCAAATTTGTTGAAATTTAAAAAAGGATTGGAGATGGTTTTGTTTCATAAGTTTGGAAATTTTCCAATACATTTGATCAAAAAAAATGAATATTGATGGGAGTGCTCTAAAAGACTTGCCTTTCGTTGCAAGAATGGTGTCTGAGCTGGTCTGATCGTCATCACGAAGAGAATCCTGCATTCAGATACTAAAACCTGAACCAAAAGCTCAACAAACTTACGAAGAACTAGGTACCAAAAAATAGAGTGAGAGAATGAAGAGACAGGGACTGACTGTAAGTTCACGACAAGACAGCCCTTCTAGGGTCTCCATTGAAGAATCATCCCTGTTAGAGTAAACAAGTCGTTGTGTTCAAATTTACTAAGGTTTAAGATCCTAAACTGCCCTAATTTTCTAGTGCGTTGAATTGTTATAACATCATATATACATAAATACAGAGAAAAGGAGAGAGACACACACACACACACACCATAGGAAGACTTGGGTGAGCTTGAAGAGGGAGCCGAGAGCTTTGACAGCAGGTGATTCGCTTCCAAGTAGCAGAGCTTCCATACCAAAATCTCGAAGTGGTAAATAGAGAGAGATACGGCCTTATATATATACAACGGAAGCGGGAGGGGCTAGGTCAGAGCACGGTCGCCACCGTCTCACTCACTCCAGTCAAATGCATAATTTGGTAAAGGCTTAAACGGCGACGTTGCTCTTTGTTTTTTCGAAAAACATCGAAATGGAGAGGGTAAATTGTCGCTTTGTTTGGCAAAACAGTTGGTTAAATTAGTTACAGCAAAGATAGAGATCAGTAAAAAAATTTCATCACTAATAGCTCTAATCAGTTGAAAAATATAAAAAATAAAAGAAAAATACAAGAGATAACTATCACATCAAAATGAGAGTCACCTCATTAGTGTTCCCTTTTTAGTGCTCCCAAGCATTAATCAATTAGTTAAATAAAATTGAGTAATGCTAGAGACCTCAAATATTCTACCAAAAGTTTTACCAAATGTCTCACATGGGTGTGGGACCCACACAATGTGGGTCCCATGTGGGTCCCACACCCATATGAGACATTTGGTAAAATTTTTGGTAGAATTTTTGAGGCCTCTAGCATTTTTGAATAAAATTAGGAGCGGACCCGAGTCGGTTATGGCTACGAAACTTTCAATTTGTCATCCGTCTGTCAAATTAACAGGTTGAAAAAAATCGGTTCGCATCCGTTCGCCACGGATTGAAGAATAAATGTGAATCGGTTTGACAGTTTAAAATTTTATAAATTTTCAAAATAATTTAACTTGTGCACTTCCTTAAAAAAAATTTAAAAATAATTATAGTCGATAACTTAAAAAAGTATTATAATCACTGCATGCTTCATCTAAATAAATAAATTTTAAAACTTTACAATATTACAATCATTGCATGCTTCATCCACATATTACAATCACAGCATGCCTCATCTGTATAAAATAGGGCAAATTACTCTAACAGTCTCTATAGTCTGGGACTTGTGTCACTTTAGTCCCTTAGTTCCTGACTTTTCAATTGTGACACGCTTTATCCTGAATTTTAAATCTTGTTCTAAATAAGAACAATTGAACATACGATTGCTTAATTTCAATGGCAAAATCGTCAATTTGATAAAATATAAACTAATTTGACAAAAATAAATGTCAAAAACATATTTTAAAATTTTAAAAAATTATTTCTACCAACTAAAAATAAAATTACGTAAAATTGATAAAAATTCAATAAAAATTACATGATTAATTTTGAAAAATTAATTTTACATGATCATCATCTAAATACATAATAAAAATTAATTTGGTAAAAATAAATAAATGTCTAAAAGATTTATCAATTTTATATAATTTTATCTTTAGTAGGTAGAAACAATTTTTAAAAAATCAAAAATAATTTTTTTACATTTATTTTTGTCAAATTAATTTATATTTTATCAAATTGACGATTTTGCCCTTGAAAAATCCAATAGTATGTTCAATTGTCCTTATTTGAAACAAGATTCAAAATTTATGGTCAAATATGTCACAATTGAAAAGTCAGGGACCAAAATGATACAAGCCCCAAATTAAAGGGACCGTTAGTGTAATTCACCCTATAAAATATTATAATTTGTGATTCTTAAAATATAAAAACAATTTAAACCACTAAAATCATCCAGTAATAGAGACTGTGTGCCTCTGTATAGTTACATCTATATCTTTTTTTAAAAACAAAAATCAATCAGCATATATCATGTTTTTTATTTATTATTTATAGAGTTAGATTTAAAAACCAAAAAATATACATAAATAGTACATTAATTTTTTTCAATTCAAAAAATATATTCAAGTTGAAAACTCTTTTTCAACAAAATATAATCAACAAAATATTTAAACTCTTTTTCAATTGAAAACACAAACAGAATATCTAAACAAATTGAAAACACAAAATTTTACAAATTGCTAGGGGTGCACGCGGTTTTGCGGTTCGATTGCGGCAAAAATAACCTCAAATCCGCTATCCGTCCACAACTAGGCGGATTGGAAAAAATCAATCCGCAACCGTCTGCTCGTTATCACACATCCATTCAAAATGCGGCAGATTGATTTGGTTCGATCGGTTTGGGCGAATTGGTATATCCGCTACTCACCATTACATAAAATAAATTAAAAATTTAAATATCATATTTAAATTATAATTATTTTATTTTTTATAAAAAAAAATAATTGAAACGAATATTTTAATCCTAAATTAAAATAGCCAACAATTAACTAAAAAAATTCTATTATTAAACGACAACTATACAGTTTTGGCTTCCTAAGGGGCCCCGGTGGATCTCTCTCAATCCTGTAAGTTGCAATTTGATTCCCAAAATCCCGCAATTGCTGATATCAGGGCGGATTTGGTAGGTTCCCAAGAAGGTAAGGGTAGCAGTGTTCTTTCTTTGGCGCCAGCTTCTAATATTCAAAATTCTGGGGAATGGGCTAGTTTGGACCAAACTTTAGATGGGCCTACTGGGCAAAAGGTTATGGAGGTGGTGGCCAGTCTTGGGCCTGAAGAACAGAATTGTGTACTGGGGGGCTGGAGATTAGGGGGCCTGTATGGGTCCAAGTTTTGTGGGAATCATGGACAATCCAGTCCAGCTTTGGCCTCTTCGGTGCGACCTACTCTCAATCTGCCCCCTTCTGATGGCCCATTGAAGGTTGGAAAAAAGTGGAAGAAGTTGGCACGGGGTTCCTCTCACACGTTCGACCAGCATATGCTTGGGGTTGGTGGAACGCAGTTGACAGTGGGTAAGCGAGATCGGGGACTTCGGGATGAGTCTTCTGGTTCATCTGCTGGTAGTAAAAAGGTTAAGCTCTCCGAGGGATAGGATGAGCATGTTTCCTCTCTCCAATCAACGGTGGTGGCTGCGGGACAGCCCCGCCGAATACAATGAAATGCTTTAGTTGGAACTGTCGTGGGCTTGGGAACCCGCGTACAGTTCGTAATCTTCAGCTCCTGCTGAAGGAACAAGCTCCTGATGTAGTCTTTCTTATGGAGACTAAATGTGTGGCGAGCAGAATGGAGTGGGTTCGGTGTAAACTTGGCCTGATTGGGGGTTTGTTTGTGGATCGGTTGGTTTGTCGGGGGGGTTAGCATTATTATGGTATTATGGAGGCCAGAGGTGATGGTTTCAGTGCAAAGCTATTCTAGTGGGCATATAGATGCTGTGGTGGAGTCCGGTGAGGGGAACCTGCAATGGCGTTTTACCGGGTTCTATGGCCACCCTGAAGCTGCTAACAGACGTTTTTCATGGGAGTTGCTTCGTCGCTTGGATGGATTATCGGACCTGCCGTGGATGGTGCTGGGTGATTTCAATGAAATTTTGTTGCCAGAAGAGAAAGTGGGTATGAATGACCGAAGTAGAGTTCAGATACAAGCCTTCCAACAAGTACTTTCGGACTGCATGTTAACTGACATGGGTTTTTGAGGGCCCAAATTTACATGGTGTAATAGTAGACCATCTGGGATGGTTCGTGAACGTCTAGATAGAGGAGTGGCTAATGCAGCGTGGTTAGGTTTGTTTCCGATGGCTCGCGTGTTTCATCTTACATGTACCACATCTGACCACATTCCCATTATGGTAGATTTGTTGGGCCAGCACATGAGCCTGTTAGGAAGTCGGCGTAGACCACGTCTTTACCGGTTTGAGGCAATGTGGCTTCGTGACGCAAGATGTGAGGCGGTAGTCAAGGCTATTTGGGGCCATGTACAAGAGGCAAATATGGACAGTGTGCGAGATAATTTGGAGAGGGTGAGTGTTGGTTTATCTCAGTGGGATAGGACCACGTTTGGCCACGTCCAACAGTTAATTCGAACTAAGTTGAGTGAGGTCCGACGTCTGGATGGTCAGGATGTGCTCTCGACTGAAGACAACTGTGTTCGTAGGAATTTATGCTGTGAGATTGATGAACTCCTTGAGCGCGATGAGACTTTATGGTGCCAAAGATCACGGGCCAATTGGTTAAAGGAGGGAGATCGCAATACTTCATTTTTCCATTCCAAAGCTTCCCAGCGGCATAAGACGAAAAGGATTGATGGGCTTGAAAATGATGTGGGTGTATGGTGTACTAAGACTGAGGAGCTGGAGAAGATTTCAGTGGGCTTTTTTGAAGACTTGTTTTTGTCGGGACAACCGCAGGGTATTGGAGATATGGTGGATAAAATCCACATGGCTGTTTCTCCAGCGATGAATGCGGAACTAGCTCGAGTTTACACAGCAGAGGAGGTGCCACGGGCGTTATTCCAAATGCATCCTACGAAAGCACCGGGCCCGGATGGTAAACCCGCTCTATTCTACCAACGCTTTTGGCCAATAGTGGGTGCACAGGTCACACAGGCAATCTTGGGGATCCTTAATGATCGGAAAGAGGTGACGAAAATGAATGATACCTTTCTGGTGCTAATTCCGAAAGTGAAAAATCCTAAACGAATGTCTCAATTCCGGCCAATTAGCCTTTGTAATGTGGCCTACAAGATTGTGAGCAAAGTGTTAGCCAATCGGATGAAAAAAATAATGCCGGAAGTCATTTCTCTAAATCAAAGTGCTTTTGTGGCGGGGCAACTTAATAGTGATAATGTGCTTGCCTCATTTGAGATATTTCATTATTTGAAGAATAAGCGACACGGAAAAGAGGGGCATTTTGCTTTAAAACTTCATATGAGTAAAGCCTACGATCGAGTTGAATGGAGTTTCTTGCGTGGTGTTTTGGAGAGGCTGGGTTTCAAAGTTTACACAGCAGAGGAGGTGTCACGGGCGTTATTCCAAATGCATCCTACGAAAGCACTGGGCCCGGATGGTAAACTCGCTCTATTCTACCAACGCTTTTGGCCAATAGTGGGTGCACAGGTCACACAGGCAGTCTTGGGGATCCTTAATGATCGGAAAGAGGTGACGAAAATGAATGATACCTTTCTTGTGCTAATTCCGAAAGTGAAAAATCCTAAACGAATGTCTCAATTCCGGCCAATTAGCCTTTGTAATGTGGCCTACAAGATTGTGAGCAAAGTGTTAGCCAATCGGATGAAAAAAATAATGCCGGAAGTCATTTCTCTAAATCAAAGTGCTTTTGTGGCGGGTCGGCTTATTAGTGATAATGTGCTTGCCTCCTTCGAGATAT